ATCAAAGCGTACACAACGTAAACAGCATATCTGCGTACGGTGCTGCTGACACAGAACAGCATACATTATTTACGTATGTGATACTCTCCAAAATGGCGCGGAGGAGACTAATTGTTGAATAAAGTCATTATTTTTGTTTTCTTTGCGCACAAAATTATTCTCGTAGCTTTATAACATTACGGTTCCACGGTGACGATGGAGGATGTCAGACCCGCGGAGTTCGCACCGTACAGATGGTGGGTTAAGGGCGAGCAGAGGGGCTGCCAGACGACAGTGGTGGAGGAGGCAGGAGCGGGCGGGTGGGTGTGCATTTTTGAGCCTCCAGGCTTTCAGGGCTGATGTGCACTGCCCACACACACCAAATAGCGACTCCCAGCACGGGGAGCGCGACTGACAGGGGAACGACAGGGCTGCACTCGGAAACATAGTCTCTCTCTGAGCAGGGCGTGGAAATAGGAGCCCTCTCTGGGCTGGACGGGGGGACAAGAGCCAGTTCTGGGCTGGGCGTAGGAGCAGGACTGACAGAGGGCTCCGACAAAGAAGGGAGGAGAGGGGGCAGATCAGCATATACATCCATGGCCTCTCCCTTGAAGTCCAGCAGTCCCAGATCCACATTCAGCTCACCCTCAGCCATGGTGCAGGGGGCGGAGCTCCTCTCCACGATTTCGCTGTCCACAGCTTTTTCCCTCGTGGCGAGCTCTGTTGCCGGCTCTCGCACCTGGACTGACGTCATGAACAGCTCCGGCTCCACGGCGATCCTCATTGAAGTCCATCAGTCCCAGATCCACATTCAGCTCACCCTCAGCCATGGTGCAGGGGGCGGAGCTCCTCTCCACGATCTCACAGTCCATAGCTTTTTCCCTCATGGCGAGCTCTGTTGCTGGCTCTCGCACCTGGACTGACGTCATGAACAGCTCCGGCTCCACGGCGATCCTCAGCTCTGTCACTCCATGTGGCGATGGCTCGTCGGTCGCGGCGGTTTCCGGCTCTTCGTCAATGGTGGGCTCGGGCTTGAGCGCCACACAGCGAGGTGATGGTGGGCTGGGCTCTGGGTCCAGAGTGGAACTGGCGAGATCCTCCTTGGAACAGACGGTGAACGGGGATCTGTTTCTCGCCAGTATCCACTCCACAAAGGTGGTTCAGGCTGGCGCCGTAGAATGCGCAGAGCGCGTCGTCCGGGTAGCTGGTGAGATGGGCGATGGCCAGAAACAGTCTGTTATGGCCCTCGAGCGATCTCTGCCCTTGCTCCAGCAGGAGGAGGAGGTACTCTTGGCGGGATAAGGGGTCCATGGGGGAGAAACAGAAATCAAAACTGAATAAAACGCAGAAACAAAACAGAGGGGGAAAACGCAGTTATACTTTTTGTTTTCGTCGGGTCTGTGAGGAGGGTGAGTAATTAATGACAGAATTTTCATTTTTGGGTGAACTATCCCTTTAAGTAATGGCGTGTTCAAGATGTAACGAAAATATGTTCTTAGTTATTACTTGATGATTAAACCACATAAAAGTCAGATTACATTAGTACAATTGTAAATGCCGTTCCACTTTGACTTTAAAAGAATGAACCCCTTGCAGATTCATACTGTAAGTGCGTAAGTAGTCTTTTAGCAGATGCTTTTATCTGAAGTCTTATCCGAAGCGACTTACTAAAGTGCACTTACGGCCGGGACAATCTGTCTGGAGCAATATGGGGTTAAATGTCTTGCCCAAGGGTACAATGAAGAAGCGAGTCCCTCCTTACTGGGATTAAAACAGCGACCTTCTGGTCAAGTGCCCCAAGCTTAAGCCAACACCACCCCTTCAGATTAAAGGAAATCAAATCAGCAAAAACCCATGAAATCACTCAATTTCAACTTCATCATTTCTGAAACACTCACAAGCTTGCAGCTCTGAGCTGCAGCCCCAGTTTTCCTTTAGGGAAACATCAAAGCTCGAATTGGCCTTTGAAGTCAGAAGAGCTGAGCCGAGCGGCATACATCTAGCCAGTCTGCCCTGCATTTGTTTACAGCCCTGTTCTTGGCTAATATAAAGCAGAATGTGCATGTTACACGCACCCAAACTAGATGAAACAAGGCTTCTGGCAAAAAAGCATTTTTCTAACATAATGATACTCCTGTGACAGACACGGCGAGGCTGGTAGAGGCGCAGTATATGGCATACGGTGATTACACCGGGGGCACGGAGCTAATGACAGCTCTCCGTACCGCAGGCAGAAAAGACTCCCCGCCTGCTGCAGGCCTCGTGGCTGCAGTGCACTTCTGCTTTTTCAGCAACATGCATGTGAGCTAATCTATTTGGGAATGGATGGCGACCACGGAGAGTCATGGCTTGGCTTGATCCCTTTACTGGATCTCAAGAGCCCGTGGCTTTGCGTGGAGGAGGAGTCGTGGTTCTGTGCGTCTGCATGAAGAGTTACAGCAAGCATGAAGTGAATTAGACAAACCCTCTCTTTTTCTCTCCCAAGGTCACTATTGAGCTTTAATGGAATGAGTGTCTCCACGAAAACGGTTCTTCTTTACACGCCCATTCAACAAAGCTTGTTATTTGAACTTGTACTCCCTTGAGACGTGTACTGTCCCTCAGATCACACATCCCTCCTTCTGTTCTTACAAACGCAATGCTGAGCGGCACAGCATGGGAACAGGGTGTTAACATGCATTTCTGTGTGGGAGTGATTTTGAGCGCGTTTCCAACCTTATCTCTCCTCACATTTGTGATCGGTGTATTTAAACACCTGCACACTCTTTTGTGCTTCTCATACCTCCAGCCAACCTGATGCTTTTTGCTCTGTTTTGTGGCTTATGGTGCATTTGTGGACGGTGGTTTCCCTTCCACCCAATGTTTGTTTCTTATCTAAGGTCACAAAATGTAAATAAGTCATATATATACACTGCCGTTCAAAAGTTTGGGGTCAGTGTGATTTTTTTTTTTTTTTCAGTTTTTGTGAAAGAAATTAATACTTTTATAATGCAAATACATTTATAATGTTACAAAAGACATATTTTTAAAAAAATGCTATTCTTTTGAACTAAAAAGAATCATAAAAAATGTGTCACGGTAAGCAGCATAACTGTTTTCAACATTTGCCATAAGAAATATTTTTTGAGCTGCAAATCAGCATATTAGACTAATTTCCAAAGGATCATGTGACACTGAAGACTGGTGTAATGGCTACAGAAAATTCAGCTTTGCCAATCTACATTTTAAAATGCATTAAAATAGAAAACAGTTATTTTATAATGACATTTCACAATATTAATGTTTGTATTGTATTTTTGATTAAATAAATGGCAGAGAAAAACCTACCAACCCTAAACTTTTGGACAGTAGAGAATATGGTGAAGATTTAAATGTGTAGTAGGTCAGTTTGGTACCTGTGTGAAAATATGTCATAGGTTTTGAAAAGTAAGTAATTGTATGTGAAGGTTAATATATCGACAGTCAAACTTCCTTACATGTGATAATGCAGCTTAAACACCACATGACACCCAGCTAGGAAGATGACAGGTGATTTTAAAAGCTCATTTTCAACATCAATAATTTCTTGGGGATAATAAGATCAGGATAATAGAAAATCTTTCGAGTGAATAAAACAGAGAGAGGAACAGCTTGATGAGTCATTTTAGATGCAAAAAAATCTGAAATGTTGGGATTTAGGATATATATGCCTGGCCTAGCCTAACCTAGATCCCTTGAGACAATGGGTGGAAAGTGCATTTGTACTGGATGTGTCCAAACCAGTTTTTTGTTCCCACGTTACAAGTTACAACATGTTGAAATGGACACACAAAAAAACAAACATGTTGTTGGCATTACTGGCAGTGATTTACTTGGGATATCAACAGTTGACACTGATGACATTATACTATTGCTGTTATGCCCAAATTACACTTGGGTCATTCCACGAAATGAGTCTTTTCCGTTTTAAAAAGGTGACATTTCTGCACAACTGTAAACATCCCGACAGAAAAGTCTTAATTGTTAATAGACTGTTTCCTAAATAAATAAATTAAATAAATCCAATATTAATAAACTGACTTCTAAAGTTGTGGTGAATTAGAAGAAACAACAAATCTTTTCTTCCATATTATGATGTACATCTGAGTGGATTCATTTCATGCCGACTTCAATAAACACAATGTTAATCAATTGCATTATGTCATTTCAAGCTAAATTTCCAAATAAAAATGTGTTACGATATATGCGACAAATGCACGGTTCATTTAACAATTAGCTAACAGCCTTGTACTCAAGGTCATGACACTACATGCAGATATTTTCTCAAATAGTTTTCCATAATCTGTTGTTTACTGTATAAAATCATGGTAACTGGACTGATTATGGAAAGTTTTTTAATAAATCTCACAAAATATAAGATAAAAGTTATATTATTATTTATGGACTTTATGGTAAAGGGCTGACACATGACTTTAATAAAAAAAAATAATATATATATATATATAGAGAGATAGAGAGAGAGAGAGAGAAAAATACAGCCTATATCGAGAGGGGAAAAAACGAAATGCTTATAGTTCCACATAAAATGCATGCAGTAACCAATGATATCTCACTAAGAAATATGTTATTTGGCATTACAATTCAGCATGGTGCACATTTTTGATTTGTAGTTCCCACCAAAGAAGTCTGTTTTTGCTATCATGCAAGTATGATCAGATATAGGTGGCCTTTAAAACTCGTGCACAGTGAGTGTGACATTACACAATCATCTGCTAGCGTGCATTGGTGATAGCAACGACTGCATGCTTTTGCATTGGTGAAGAAGTCAAAGGTGGGTCTAGTTCACCCTGGATGAAGAAAAGGTACGACACACCTCTTCACCGTGTTCTATCCCGTCTGCTTTAATTACATCCAAAACCACCGAAATTCAAGTGCCAGTGCCAACCATCTCCATTCTGCTATCGTCACGTCAATTGCTTGCTTATTCAGATTCCCAAACCAAATAGTCCTGTTTGATTGTGATTCATCAGTAGGCTACTCACCCGAAGAGACGGAGGAACCCGACAGACTGGAGTTGCTGGACGCTGCCATCGCGTCTAATTCACTGAATCTACCCGCTTACTGGCGTCTGTTAGGGCTTGACAGCTCTTCCATCTCAGTCTCTGCTCTCCTGACCTGTCTTCAGCTCTCCAGAGTTCCTCCTAAAAAGCCGATAATATCCAGCTGTGACGGGAGTCGCCAGCGCTGCCGCATTTACAGGCGCGTGTGGCAGCAGAAGAACCATATGATGAAACTATAGTTGATACAACCTCAGATATACGTACAGAAAATGTGCCAACTCATCTACTCTTCGTCGTAATGAAAAGCAGAATTCAAAAAAACTTCCCGGCCGTTCCCTGTGCTGTCAGTGCCAGTAGGGTTCGCCATATTTAGAGACAGGGATTTGACTGTATCGCTTCCATGTGCCACTTCCAAGCTCGTAATAAACACAGTGTGTGCAGAGGCGAATCCGCCTTCTTAAAGTGGAAGAGACGCGCGCACATTCCTCCTGTCTACCTGACCGTTCTGTAAACCTACTTACATGCCTCTCAGCTCTGTGCTTGGCCTAACCTAGACCTAAAAATGATGGCTTTCCTGTGCTTTGACATGCTGCAAAGTTACAGCATGCGCATAACAGCGCAGTAATAAAGGTACAGTTGGTGTTCCATTACTTTAAAAAAAAAAAGGCATTAGATGCTTGTTTTGTTGCAAGATCTATCAAACATGCTTGATAAACTACTATCTAACAAAAATTAACCTAGCGTGAAAAGTGGCTCATTTTAAAAACATCAAATGTCTGTAGTTTATTATATCACTGTCCACTTTTTAAAGACATGTAATTTTGTCACACCCACTTGAAAAGCATGTTGCACTTTCCACAAATATAGTATAAAGGAGGCTTAGGTCTACTTTTTCCTGTCTTAAAAAAAAGGGGGCAGTAAAAAGAGATGGGACTACTAGGCTACCTTTAGAAAATGTTTAATGTCAATCTCAATATGTCAAAATAAATAGTTTTTCTGTTACTTGTTGTTTTTGAGGTTTGCCCTAAGGTTTGTAACCAGCATTCGAGATGTGTTTAAATACAGTTTAAACCAATCATTTCTAGCAATAAACATCAATTAAATAGTTTGAGGACATGCAGTCAACACTGCTAAAAAAATATATACTTACTTAAGCCCTATTCGCACGGGATTAGTATTACCTGGTGACCTCCAGTCATTTGTAATAATTGTGGAGGTTGTCTGTGATTTAATCCCATGCGAATCGGCCATGTCTGTAATTTGTAAAGTAAAAATTCCCCCGCAAATGACCTACCATATTTCACCGAACACCGAGGTCCTGTGATAATATTAGTCCCGTGCGAATCGGCATCTCTGTGATTCGGCCAGCATTTGGCGGGTCACATATCATTTTTCGAGGTTTTTGTTTGCTGTGCTCCTTTTTATCCATCTTTCGTGAAGAATGGATCTGCGTTGGAGTGTTTGTATTTTGTTTGTATTTGTATAGTATTTTGGGTGCTGTCATCATATCGCTACACCATACAATTTGCAGAAAGAGAAAGCTGAAAAGGTTTTGAGGTTAATGTGTTACAAATAAATCAAGCATAAAGCTTGAGATATTATTTTAACCTGGTGAAATGTAAATGACACAGCGCACGAAACTATATTAGTTTATTTTTTAAAAAATCCATCTGGACCATAGAACAGGGACTCTCAAAGCCTTGACATCCGGGTATCCGGGAGATAAATCAGTAAATTCGAGTAAAATCACAGGCTTCGCTTATCCCGTGCGAATGCACCACACGAAATTCAGATGTGGGGGGGTAATTTCAAAATCACACAAGATCCCCAGATAATACTAATCCCGTGCGAATAGGGCTTTATAGCCTATATTTATTACCCATCATTATGTTTCTTCTTGGGAGTCACAATTTTAAGGAATCTTACATTTTTTGCAAACAGAAGACAGCAAAATGCTTATACACAAAATGGGAATATTAGCCTACATTTTTGGCCATTACAATTTATTAATATTCAAAAATAGCTTTTACTACAATATATTGGTCAAACTTAATATTGTTTTAAAATTGTTTAATACAGCTGATAAGGTCAAGACTTCTGATGATGGACAGGGCAAAATCACCTTTTTGTCTTTCTCATGCTCAAAAGTTAGGCCTATATGCCTCTTAAGTGAGCTGTGGCATGTTATACAAGGCTGCTTCTTCATAAATGTCAGGTCAGAGCAAGTTTTTTCATTGGGGCAAGTTGTCACATGTATTTTAAATATTATGAATTTATACAATTTACTCTTTTGTTGGACAAAATAGTTTGATATTTGTATGTTTAAAGAATTGTATTTGTTTTATAATTGTTTTACAATGTTTATATTTTGTAATTTATTATTTTTACCTGGTTAGATTTTGTTCAAAAGTTCAATGGCAGGTTCCATTCTAACAACATACACTATGAAGTGTGACAACATGCCCCACTTTTGAAGAAAATTCAACCTGTTTCAACATACTAACAGTCGGCATGTTCAATGGCTTTTTGTAGTCAAGACGTTAACATATCTACAGAAGATGATTTTTAAAAAATAAAGCAACCCTGAGAAATAGCCTATTAACTTGGGCCTTCTCTATTACATAGCAAATGCATATTGCATAATATTGTATATTGGAAAAGTTGCTTTGTGGGTTGAGCACTGCTTCTCTCAAATGGGCCTATAGGGGTCAGTGTTTTCAACTGAAGTTCCTTGGATTCACTGCGATCACATGACTTTGAGGCCATATAGTCATGTGACTGCAACACATTCAAAGCGTGACAACAAGCTGATCTGCATTTACTTTTAGTTTCATTTGCCGATGCAAACGGCTTCTGGATTTCTGATTGGCATCTGGCTTTAAGGTAACGCTATTATTATTACTGATCAGGAAAACAAGATGTATATAAATGATCAATTATTTGATTTGATAAGTTATCACACCTGCACATTATCTTTCCTGTTTACATATTCATAACATAATGTGCCGCGCATTATGTACGTATGTTGCTTATTTTCGATAATTCACAGACTGACAAGAGTTGTCATCTTTCTCTCATCTGATATGTTTAGGCTTGTAATAACAGGTAGCAGGTAATGCGAGCCTTTTAATATCAAGCAGGATCATTGATCCCCGTGTTATATTTCTTTGCTGTCTGCAGTTAAACTCTATAATGCTGAAGGAAACGCTGAGGCTGCTGTTCCTCGGGGCTCTTCTGGAGTCTGTCAGTCCCCGGGGCTGTTCCTCGTTCTTCTGCCGGAAATCACACCGTGTGAGCGGGTCACGTTTTGGAGTTGACCCGGGCAAACCTCTGATGCTCACCCCCTATCTGGAGGAAGGCAAGATAGAAGAAGGTATGCTTGCTGTTTGCATAGAATAATTTCAGTTCCTCTTCTTTCGTTCTTCTTTTACTTTAATTCGGTAAATAGCCTATAACAGGTATTTTCCCTATTATGGAGAAGTTTGTGCGAGACTGATAGATCAGTGGAATTTACTTTGGTTGTCCACAAATTATAACTGCTATCATAATTCACTGATGTTTCTCATCTGTATGCTAATACGCTTTCTTTTTTTGTATTGTGGGTATGCAGCCAAAAAACTGAGTTTGGTGGGACCCCTTCCTGGTGCCAATGTCAAGAGTTACTCAGGATATCTCACTGTGAACAAGACTTACAACAGTAACCTTTTCTTCTGGTTCTTCCCTGCCCAGGTAATATGTTATGCACTTTTATTTTTTTAACACTGTACATGAACATCACTAAAGAGAAGACTGACCTGCTGACTGTAGCTTCTGCGTCAGTTGGCAACACTTGAGTCAGGTGTTTTCAGAAGTCGTTCACAACAAATCATATATAGTCAACACAGATTTCGATTCAGTGATGTTATTACTGCACACTTATTTATTGTAGCATGTTTTTCTTTGTTTAGGAGAGACCAGAGACGGCTCCGGTGCTGCTGTGGCTGCAGGGAGGACCTGGAGGCACTTCCATGTTTGGCTTGTTTGTGGAGCACGGCCCATATTTTGTACATAAGAACCTCACGTGTGAGTACAAATGCCTGTATGCTGTGTTACATTATGTTGATGAAGATTAGCATGTTGTTTCTGTGTCTTATAAACATTGTATTATAGATGGTTTTTGGGCCAGAAAGGAATTTTTATTTGCTTAATAGTGAAACCCTACACTTCAGATATCAATGTATGAAATTACATTAAAACGTTAGAATTTAAGCCTTTAATGTCGTTCTGCAGTGGGCTATAGGGATTTCCCCTGGACATCACGATACTCTGTTCTTTACATCGACAACCCGGTGAGTAGACATGTTCCGGTATTCGGTAATACAATATATCATGATAATGAACATGCACGATATTGTTATCGTGGGCACTTCAAAATACCATGAATAATTATTTATTACAAATTTTGATGAAAGCATTTTAAGAATAGTTTTCTCATCAACTTCTCTTTAAATACTTGCATTTAATTACATTTAATCTGGACTACAACATGCCCTAGATATTGTTCAAAAATGTTTTGTTCTTTATTGTTCGGTCACACTTAAGGCTTCATTTGTTAACAACAATTAATTCATTAGTTAACATAAACTACCAATGAAATATTCTTCTAAAGCATTTATATATCTTAGTTAATTTCAACATTTAATAACATGTTATTAAAATCAAAGTTGTAATTATTATTTAACGGACTCGAGCTAACATGAACTAAGTTGTATTTTTTTTTAAACCAAGAATAATAACTTCTGTAAGAAATGTTGCTGTTGCTCATTGTTAATGTTAGTGCATTAACTAAGGTTAACTAATGAGACCTTATTGTCAAGTGTTACCTATTGTTCTTTATAATTCTTTAGAATTTTAATCCATTTGAAACATTAGTTTACTTTATACATTTTTTATCTATTGCTTTATTGTATTTAAATGTTCAGTTCTTCTTGTTATAAGAAAAAAGTTATTAAACCTGTTACACTGTATTATGACAACATTTTTGCAACTTATTTTAATTTCATGATAATACCGTGATAAAAGCTTCAGTAATTATCGCAACATGAAAATGTAATACTGTCATATGCCTACTGGTGAGTTTAGTGTATTTTAATTATTTCAGAATTTGCTCAAGTCATTTTCACTTAATTCCTAAAAACATATTTAGGAAAATTTGTTATATTATTTTCCTTGCTTTTCATGCAATTTGAGAATATTTTTATATTTTATGTATTTATTTATTTTCTGAAATGAGATCAAATGAGGTAAAGAGCTTTGCTGCATACATCTAAGTGTCTTTATATGGAGATACATATTTTCTGTCTTGTGTGTCATCGACACAGAATCTAAGAATATAATTATTACACACATTATTTCTTTCTTTAAGAAGGAACTGAGTAAATTAAATAAGTTGACAGCCTTACTGCAAATATGCTAATACAGTATGTGAATCCGGTGT